ACTGGTGTTCATCAGTGCCAGGAGCCCAGCAAGTAAGTCGAGGGGGGGCAGGCAGGATGGTGGCGTTGGTTCAGTGGGGGTGCGAGTGTGGTCAGGGGGCAGGGGAGAAATCAGGGGCATAAAAGTATTCCCCGGTCTTGTGGGGTAGGGAAGAGAACCCCCATCCTTTCATGACTCACTGCAGACTCTGTGAGCTCCCTTATTTCATAGATTTCATAGACATTAGGGCTGGAAGGGACCTCGGAAGATCATTGAGTCCAGCCCCCTGCCCAAGGGACAGGAAGTCAGCTGGGGTCACAGGATCCCAGCAAGATAAATGTCCAACTGACTCTTAAAGGAGTCCAGAGTAGGTGCTTGCACCACCTCTGGCAGCAGTCTGTTCCAGGCCTTGGGGGCTTGGACAGTAAAGAAGTTCTTCCTTATGTCCAGCCTGAAATGGTCTTGGAAGAGTTTGTGACCGTTTGACCTTGTCATTCCATGGGGCGCTCTGGTGAACAGGCATTCCCTCAGATCCTGATGTACACCCCTTATATACTTATAGGCAGCCACCAGGTCCCCCCTGAGCCTGCGCTTTTCCAGTCTGAAGAGTCCCATAGGTCTCAGCCTCTCATCATAAAGCCTGTTTTCCTGCTCTCTGATCATGCGTGGGGCTCTCCTCTGGACTCTCTCAAGCTTCTCCACACCCTTTTTAAATTGTGGAGCCCAGAGTTGGATGCAGTACTCCAGCTGCGGCCTCACCAAGGCTGAGTACAGCAGGAGGATGACATCCTGAGATTCGCTAGTGAAGCATCTATGGATGCAAGCCAGAGTTTTGCTTGCTTTGCCGGCTGCAATGTCACATTGGTGGCTCATATTCATCTTGTGATCAATCATGACCCCCAAGTCCCTTTGGCGTGTGATCCCACCGAAACATCCCAGACCTCATCAACGCACACACAAATGACGTGTACCTTCCCCCTGATCCATCCCACAGACTCCGCTAGCCCCCCCCGAACCACAAATGCCTCCTCCAACCTCCCCACAGATGTCACTTGCCCCACCAATTCCACCCTCGGGGTGCTGCCTGTCCCCCTCCGATTCCCCTGATCCCTCCCATGGACCTCACTTGCCACCCTGATCCTCCCAGTAGTCCCAGCCTGCCCCCCAATCCCTTCTGAAGGTTCTGCCTGCCCCACCAATTCTCCCAGTTCTCCCCACAGATGCCATTTGTTTCCCTGATCTCCACTGTAGTCCCTGTCTGCCCCAATTCCCTTGACCCCCAGACGCTGCTTGCCCCCCCATCCCACTTGCTCCCCCAATCACCCCAACCCCTTCCTCCCCCCACACA